GTTTTCCACTGAGTGACTGCTAATTGTTTTCCACTGAGTTCCTGCTAATTGTTTTCCACTAAGTGGCTGCTAATTGTTTTCCACTAAGTGGCTGCTAATTGTTTTCCACTGAGTGACTGTTAATTGTTTTCCACTGATTGGCTTCTAATTGTTTTCCACTGAGAGGCTGCTAATTGTTTTCCACTGAGTGACTGCTAATTGTTTTCCACTGAGTGACTGCTAATTGTTTTCCACTGAGTTGCTGCTAATTGTTTTCCCTGAATTGCTGCTAATTGTTTTCCACTGAACTGCTGCTAATTGTTTTCCACTGAGTTGCAGCTAATTGTTTTCCACTGAATTGCTGCGAATTGTTTTCCACTGAGTGACTGCTAATTGTTTTCCACTGAGTGACTCCTAATTGTTTTCCACTGAGTGACTGCTAATTATTTTCCACTGAGTGGGTGCTAATTGTTTTCAACTGAGTGACTGCTAATTGTTATCCACTGAGTGGCTTTACATTATTTTCCAATGATTGGCTGCTAATGAGTGCTATTGAGTGGCTTCTAATGATTGGTCATTGAGTGGCTATTGAGTGGCCAGGTGATTGGCGCGCAGGTCGCACGTGTCTGATTGAGCGACGCGGCAAAGGCCAACACAGCAGCTGCGCCTGCCAATCAATACTGGCTTAAAGAGCCGCTCTTAGAGGCGTAAAGAGCCGCTCTTAGGGGCGTAAAGAGCCGCTCTTAGGGGCTTAAAGAGCCGCTCTTAGGGGCTTAAAGAGCCGCTCTTAGGGGCGTAAAGAGCCGCTCTTAGGGGCGTGAAGAGCTGCCCTTAGGGGCTTAAAGAGCCGCTCCTAGGGGACCTAAGGAGCCGCTCTTAGGGGCTTTAAGAGCCGCTCTTAGGGGCTTAAAGAGCCGCTCCTATTGGCTTAAAGAGCCGCTCCTAGGGGCTTAGAGAGCCGCACTTAGGGGTGTAAAGAGCCGCTCTTATGGGATTAAAGAGCCGCTCTTAGGGGCTTAAAGAGCCGCTCCTATTAATTGGCTTAAAGAGCCGCTCTTAGGGGCTTAAAGAGCCGCTCTTAGGGGCTTAAAGAGCCGCTCTTAGGGGCTTAAAGAGCCGCTCTTAGGAGCTTAAAGAGCCGCTCTTAGGAGCGTTATAAAGACCCGCTTTTAGGGGCGTAAAGAGCTGCTCTTAGGGGCTTAAAGAGCCACTCTTCGGGGCTTAAAGAGCCGCTCTTTGGGGCTTAAAGAGCCGCTCCTAGGGGCTTAAAGAGCCGCCCTTAGGGGCTTAAAGAGCTGCTCTTAGGGGCGTAAAGAGCTGCTCGTAGGGGCTTAAAGAGCTGCTCTTAGGGGCTTAAAGAGCCGCTCTTAGGGGCGAAAAGAGCCGCTCTTAGGGGCTTAAAGAGCCGCTCTTAGGGGCTTAGAGAGCCACTTAAAGGGGGCTTAAATGGCCGCTCTTAGGTGCTTAAAGAGCCGCTCTTAAGGGAGTAAAGAGCCGCTCTCAATGACGTAAAGAGCCGCTCTTGGGGGCTCAAAGAGCCGCTCTTACTCGCATAAAGAGCCGCTCTTAGGGGCTCAAAGAGCCGCTCTTAGGGGGCTCAAAGAGCCGCTTTTAGGGGCTTAAAGAGCCGCTCTTAGGGGCATAAAGAGCCGCTCTTAGGGGCGTAAAGAGCCGCTCATAGAGGCCTAAAGAGCCGCTCTAAGGGGCGTAAAGAGCCGCTCTTAGGGGGCTCAAAGAGCCGCTTTTTGGGGCTTAAAGAGCCGCACTTAGGGGCTTAAAGAGCCGCTCTTAAAGGCATAAAGAGCCGCTCCTAGAGGCAAAAAGAGCCGCTCTTAGGGGCGTAAAGAGCCGCTCTTAGGGGCATAAAGAGCCGCTCTTTGGGGCGTGAAGAGCCGCTCTTAGAGGCATAAAGAGCCGCTCTTAGGGGCATAAAGAGCCGTTCTTAGGGGCGTAATGAGCCGCTCTTAGAGGCATAAAGAGCCACTCTAAGGGGCGTAAAGAGCCGCTCTTAGGGGCTTAAAGAGCCGCTCCTAGGGGCGTAAATAGCCGCTCTTAGGAGAACAGAGAGCCGATCGTTGGTGTTTAAAGAGTTGCTCCTTAGAGCTTTAAGAGTCGCTCATAGGTGACAAACGAGACTATAAATGTTTTGTAGAGAAATACTTGCTCTTAGTTTGTGTGTGTGAATTCTGAATTTGTACATGTGCTTGAAGGTGCGTGTGTATGTATGACTGTATGTGTGTGTGAGTGTTTGTGAATGTACGCGTGTGTGCATATGTTTGAGTGTGTGCGTGTGTGTGTGTGTGCACGTGTGAGTGTGTGTACGTGTGAGTGTGTGTACGTGTGTGTATGAGTGCGTGTGTGTGTGTACGTGTGAGTGTGTGTACGTGTGTGTATGAGTGCGTGTGTGAGTGTACGTGTGTGTGTGTGCATGTGTGCGTGTGTGTACGTGTGTGTATGAGTGCGTGTGTGTGTGTACGTGTGAGTGTGTGTACGTGTGTGTATGAGTGCGTGTGTGTGTGTGTACGTGTGAGTGTGTGTACGTGTGAGTATGTGTACGTGCGTGTGTGCGTGTGTGCGTGCAGGTGTCACCGTAGAGGCGCTAACTAAGTGCCTCTAATGGCCTATTAGCGCCGGGCGGCAGTTACCCTTACTGCCTCACTTACTGCAGCTACTGCCTCACTTACTGCAGCTACTGCCTCACTTACTGCTGCTACTGCCTCACTTACTGCTGCTACTGCCTCACTTACTGCTGCTACTGCCTCACTTACTGCAGTGCTTATCGGGTGATTATTCACCAGTTATGTGTATGATGATTATTCACCAGTTATGTCTATGATGATTATTCACCAGTTATGTGTATGATGATTATTCACCAGTTAAGGTGATTTTTCACCAGTTATGTCTATGATGATTATTCACCAGTTATGTGTATGATGATTATTCACCAGTTATGTGTATGATGATTATTCACCAGTTATGTGTATGGTGATTCTCTCAAATCAGTTTGTATCACGCAACTCGCGCTGCCACGGACCAAAAATGCCGCGAATGTTGCAAGTGTTGCAACATGTGAGTTCAATTTGCGTTTCACTGTAGCGTCATTGCTGCAAGTGTAGCTAATTACGGTAGCATTGCTGCAAGTGTAGCTAATTACGGTAGCATTTGTGAAAATAGCCTTGCAATGCATCAAAATGAACCTAAAGACGCCATTCAAGTGCCGCTATTGATGCAAGTGTTGAAAGTCTTGCAACACTTGCAGGGGAGTTAAGTAGGGGAGTTAAGAAGGGGTGTTGGTGAACCTACTTGAGAATGCAGTTCAATTTTCAAGGAGTCGAACAATTCTTCAGCTTATTTCTATTGCTCATGCACGCGAGCTGCCGTGGTCAAGGTTGCTAAGGCGTCGCGCGGTCTCCAGCGATCCCGCGTTCGAATCCTGCCACGGACGAAAAAAAAAGTTTGTTCTTCAACGTTGATTCAATCAGAGAATTTGATGTTGCAGGAATGTCGTAGTAGCAACATTGATTCAACGTTGCATTGTAACGTCAGAACGACGTTTAATGAAAGATGTTGCTTCAATTTTCATTCTAAACCTACTTTCATCCCGATCTCAACGTCGTAATGCGTAGTTGATTCAACGTCGATTCAACCATAGAATTCAACGTTGCAGCAACGTCGTAGTGGCAACATTGATTCCACGTTGCATTGAAACGTCAGTACGACGTTTCATGAAAGACGTTGCTTCAGTTTTCATTCTAAACCTCTTTTCATCCCGATCTCAACGTCGTAATGCGTAGTTGTTTCAACGTTGAATCAACCAGCGAATGCCGGTTGAGTTAGTTAAAAAATGCCACAGAAAGCATGTAAGCCCGCACGAGAACGCACCTTAAGAAATTATTTTCGCCAAATTTTGAAATTTTATGAAATGAAACAATTGAATTTCTATATAATTTTTCGAAATTGTTGCTATTGAAGATATTGAAGTATATGGAAAAAATCGTAGCAGTTAAAAAATTTGTAGAAATTAAAGAAATGTTAGCGATTGAATAACTTGTGAAAATTCATGAAATTGAAGCTAATGAAAAGAAATTGAAGAAATTTGAAGAATTGAAGCGCCGGTAAGGCTTTCAGGAATTTGAACAGTTAACTAATTCTATTTTAGAAATGGCTTAACTGATACTTGCGAAATTATAAAAGACTTTTTGCCGCTTTAAAGAAGTTTGGGAGAATTTTCGAGTTGAATTTATGAAGTTATAAATACTAGTGACGTTATTGAAAAAAGGGCAAAAAATTCTTGCGATTTTACGAATTGTTCAAAATTATTAAATTTTAACGATTGATAAATTGTAGAATTTTTAGAAATTGTAGCGAAATATTTAAATTCAAGCAGTGCGACGACTGATAAAACATTGAAGCGATTGAAGAATTGTAAATATGAATAATTAATTAAGATTTGTTAAATTTTATTTAAATAAAGTTCTTATAGCGTTTGAAAACACCAAAGATCTCCTAATTATTAAAGCGATTTTATTTGCCTCAAATTGAGAAGCAGACTGAATTTAAATGAATACATATAGAGAATAAGACATAAGTTAAATTATAATATGAGTTGAAAATGTTACAAATTTAAAAAATAGCAACGATTTAACAAATTATACTTATTGGAAGAATTTCATCGAATAAAAGAATTGCAGAAAGTGAAGAATTTGATGCAGATTTTGTAAATTGAAGAACAGAACATAATTATCGTGAAGAATTATTATGTTAAAAGCATTGGGGAGTTCAAATATTATATGTTAATATGATATTGCTAGGTAATAATACCTTATATACGTTATATATAAGGTATATATTATAATATATGTTATAATATATTATATAATATACCTTAGGTATTACGGTTGCAGCTTGGTTGCAACGATTGCAATAGTAAAAATTGAAATTGATAGAAGTTAAATTGCAGTGAATAAATTTTAAATAATCAAAATTTATTAAATAAAATTATTCCCCGTGTAACTTTGCAGGCGGTGAAGGAACTGCCTAATGAGAATGTTAAAACGCTGCCTAATGAGGAGGAAGTGAAGACGCTGCCTAATGAGAAGGTTAAGACGCTGCCTAATGAGGAGGAGGTGAAGACGCTGCCTAATGAGAATGTTAAAACGCTGCCTAATGAGGAGGAGGTGAAAACGCTGCCTAATGAGGAGGAGGTGAAGACGCTGCCTAATGAGGAGGTGAAGACGCTGCCTAATGAGGAGGAGGTGGAGACGCTGCCTAATGAGGAGGAGGTGAAGACGCTGCCTAATGAGGAGG